AAGTGAAGTCTAACTTAATCTCTAGGTTCAAAAATTATTTTTTTCCTTTTTTATTGGCATGTCAAACCTATTAACCTACTTTCTTTTTAATTTTAGAGTGCAATTCTTTTACAATTTTTCGAAACCCATAATTGCATAACATAGAGTCAAAGTTTGGAATAACAATAAGATAAAGAGGAGTTAATAGATTAAATCAATATACTAACTCAAAAGGAGAATGTGAGGTTGTGAAATTTACCACATAATTATATGTAAACTTCACATGAGGTAAAATTTCTTCTCACTCTTTTAGGTTGCAAGGAATCAAACACCTTACTTATTCAGAAAAAATCTTATTAACAACTTCAATTAGAAAAGAATTTTTGTTCCATGTCTTTCCCATAAGACTTTTCAAAGTGACTTAAGAACTTTGAATATTTATCAAACACAATGCTTCTAGGAATCTCATGCATTCTAGAAAATTGATTCATTACCACAAATATTGAATCACTGTATTTTACAATATTGAAATTCCAAGAACAAAATTCATTAAAATATCCATCCAAGACAAGTTAGAAATTGGAAGAGTGGTATAAAATCCATGGGGTTTTAACCTTAGATTTAGCTTTCTTATAAGCAATGCATTTGGCACAAAAACTTTAAACATGTTTTCTCATATATGACCAAAAGAAATGTTCATGCAAAACTTATAAGTTTTCTAATTCTCCAAATTGTTCCATTAAACCACCCTCATTACTTTTCTAATGAGTGTTTTTCTCAAAAACCCGTGAGGCACATAGAGTTTTTAGTTTCTAAATGAGTATCCATCTTGTATGAAAAAACCTTTGTATGACTCCTTTGAGCTCTCTTGAAAAATTTTAGAGAAATTAACTTCATTTTGATACAAATCTCTTATATGATCAAATCCAACAAAATTTGTTTCAAGAGTGTTAATCAAGGCATGTCTCCTTCAAAAAGCATCAACTAATATAATTTTTTTCCCTTACTTGTGTTTTATCATATAACAAAATTATTCAATAAACTTCACCAATTTTGCATGTTTCTTATTAAGCTTGCATTGATCATTCAAATATTTAAGCAATTCATGATGTCTACGAATCACAAATTCATTTGATAAAAGATAGTGACTATTCTTCAATTTCTTGTTGGAATAATCCATGAGATGTCCTTCTTGAAGAATAAAAATCAAGTTTTTAACTAGTCACATTGGTATGAGTAAACATAATTTGTTATTTATAAAACATCTAGTGTGAAAAAAATATTTGCTCTTTGAGAATTGAGAAAGTCCTCTTGAATTTGACCAAACATTCTTCTCACTATTAACAATCACATTTACAAGGATAACATAATCATCATCAGTAGGAATGGATGAGAAGGTAGGAAAATTAGGACAAGAATGGGAGTCGAAGAATGTTCGCTATCTACTTCTCCTTCTCTCAAAATCATAGATCTTGAAGATGAATATTATGAAGTCACATGTCTATAACCCAAGCATTTAAAATATTTGATAGCACTTGCTTTTTGTTTTTTTAGAAGATTGAAATGTAGAAGATGTGGAAGTTTTTTCTTTGTTGAAAATAATATATAAAATGATCTCTTTAGAAAACTTGAAAAGAAACTTATATTTTTGAATTTCTTTAATCATGATTTCGTTAAGTAATATTTATATTAATTTATCAATAATTAATATAAAACTTTATATTATAATAATAAATATACATATTCCTCTTATGAATATTTAAATCTTAAATTTTTATATCATAATCTTAATTCTTTTATATTATAAAATATTAATTTATTTTCTACATCAACTATATCACTAGTATATTATTTAAGTGTTTTTTATTTTATTTTGTTGGCGTCTATTTTCAAACCAAGCATAAGTTAACATTTTTATAGTTTTTATTAGTTGTTTAAAATATTTACATTATTTATTCATATACTTACTAAAAAACTTATATTTATTATAGTGTCATCTATAGATAAAAAAAAAAAATTAAACCATTAAAAAAATAAAATAAAACTCAAATAGGTTTTCACAAAAGTCATCATTCCTAACACACGAAAGAATAGCTTCGGAAGAGATAAGAATCTTATCCAAAATTTACATTTAACTCTTGTTTACTTTATTTAAGAGTATATTTGAATAAGTTTTCAAAAATAAAAGTAAAAAATCAAATAATTTTATCTACACGTAAAATGAACTTATACACAAAATAAATAAAATATTAGAAAATTATATAAAAAAAGACTTCTACAAATTAACATATGTATACAAAAACTTATTTTATTTTAGTTTTAGAAATCTTAAAAAATAAAAAAGTTTGTTGAAACATACCCCAGATGATGTTATAATATACCATTTGAATGGCTACAATGTTGTACGAATTGCAAAGTGAGAAGGATGTTACATGATCATCATGTATGTAGTGGGCATTAAGGATTGATACTGTGAATGTTGTATAGATGCCTTGGCATGTTGAGTTGTAATTGGACATGCAAGTCTGCACCCACTTCTGAGTGTTTTTGGTATTAAAGTGGCAGACAAACTTCACTCCCCTCCCTTTCTTATTCTCTGCTTTTATCAGTGGTGGAAACTTGTGCTCTATCATCTCCTACACTCTGCACCACTCATCCTATTCTATGCCCTCTTTATTTTCTCTCTCCTTTTTCAACACAACATTTATTTCTTTCATTCTCAACTGCTCCCACTAACAAAGAAGTTGTATGTGTCCAAAAGTTGAGGGAAAAAAATTATATTTGTTAGATAACTTTCTAATCAAAACTGAAACACACCACTGTGGTATAGGGAAAATTCATTTGTTTTAACAGGGGATTTCTATTTATTGAAAAAAATTGAGATACTGTGATTCATTTAATTAACTATTTATTTTAATAAACATTTTTTCATACAAACCTTATGCTCAAATTTACACCTTCATTTTTAAAGTATATAATTATATCACGTTATGTTATGTGTTCTTTTTCCAAATGTAACATTTTAATTAGTTTTAACTTAAAATTATGACTTTACTAATAATAAGTCGATGATTTGACTGAAACTAAGTTTAATCCTCTTCAATAGGATTTTTATATTCAATTTACATGGATAAAATGAAAAATAATATGATTGAGAATGAGATCTTATTAAAAATAAACAATAAATTATTTTTAAGAAAATAACAAATCAATAATACTTGGTGTCAATATTATAAAAAAGAAAAAAGAAAATTAAAAATCACATATGATCCAAATTTTGTAAGTCAACGTGATTGTCTTCTATGATGGCATTGAGGGAGTAACAGATTGTTAATTGACTTATTATTGGGATAGTGCCCCCACCAGCACAATTAACTACCACTTTACTCTTTCATTAGTTCTCAGGTACGAGCATGTGGTACCCATTATTTTATGTTTATTTTTTATTAACTTAAATCATTTTATTGAACTGTAAGCACTTACATTTATTATAATTTTTAAACTTTTTTCTGTTTTTATTAATTTTTTTATGAATATCACCAATTACTTACTCATTTTCAGGATCATATTCTAGAGATATGCCACTATGTTTTATATATATCTTTATAAAGAACATTCGTTGTCTTACTTAATAGAAATTATTTTAAACATAATATTTAAAAAAAGTTTATTATATGACTATGCATAAGTAGATGCCAGTATATTGAAATTAAATTATTTTCTTTTAGGGGACTTACGAGATGGAATTTTTTTCGTTTTTTCAAAAATTTTAATATTTAGTTTTTTGAAAAATGAAATTTTCAAAGCAATGTTTTTCAATAATTAATATTTTAATCAAGTTTTCTTGTAATTATTCACTTGCTATGTAATTCTTCTATTACTATGTTACTCTTATTAAACCATTTAATATAGTAAATAATTAAAATCTTTAGTAAGAATTATACAATATTTTTTATTTCCAATAAAAATATATAAATATTTTTAGAAATGTTTTTACCAACTAATCAATTTTTAATCATTCTTAGGAATCTAATTCTCATATTCATGATTTGTAGGAATCATGATTCATGGAAGTTTTTCTTATGCCAAATACTCTTTGCAGAATGATGTTTAAGCAACTTTTTTAATATAATAAAAAAGATGTTCCAATTTAAAAAAAAGGAATCCGCAGATTTTACACTTCAGTTATTTAGGTTATATTAATGAATTTAACTAAAATACATAAAGATTATAAAAAAAATGTTGTTATACAACCACATGTCGTCACATATGATAATTTTTTTTTTTACTTTTATATAATTAACTTAAAAATTATACTTAATATTGTTTTATTGAATTAAATATCAAATCTTTAAATAAATAATGTACATTTTATATTTAATCCCATTAAATTTGATTGGGTGGAAGCCTGATTAAATATAATCAAATAGCTTTTTTAACAAGTCATTAATAATAAAGTCAGTGAATAATTCATACGGATAATATAGTTATCTAAAACATTCAATACTTAAATATGCTAATTCTTACCAAATCGAGTTTAATTATAATTATATCTTTCTCTACATATAATGTCCTTAATTTGAAGATTGTCTTTGTAGAAAACTATTTTATATTTTATCTATTGAGATTAGGATTTTGATGGGTTGTAGAAAAATGTGTACTGCTGCGTTATTGTTGGTTCACTACTAAGAAAAATAATATTTATGGAGTAATATCGTAGCTAAATAGTTAAAAAAGTATTAATTTAATATTTTGGTCAAAGAATAAAAAAAGCATAACCGAGGTGCTTATGTGGTGTGGCATCTATAGCGTGAAACAGTAGTTTAGGAGGGAAACACGGGAACCAGTGATTATTAACATTTCGACACTTATGCTTTGGTGTATGTAAAGGACTCGATCCTCGTATAACCGAAATTGAACCAAATCAAGCTATTCCAAAACATGAGACCACTTCAAGTTCTGGTTCCAACTTCATGTATTGTTACGATGAATCAAGATGATCAAATGCAAAGGATCTACCTTCATTTTTCTTCGTAACTTTCTTCATGATTTTGGATCTTTCCAGAACTGACAAGTGAGTTGATGATGTTGCCTTCTATTGCATCTTCCGAATTGGATCCGTTAGAGAACTCTGACAAATGAGGTGCTGACTGATCATCCTGAACCACTTCCTTTTGCACTAATGACCTTGGGCGTCTGATTGCTTCCGCAGCCTCCGGCATTGCTATGGGAGGAGGTTGAGGAGGAACCCACAATCGTTGGACTGCCTGCTGATTGGATGCAGCAGATGCTACGTTATACTCGATTTCGTTATCAATCTCTTTGATTCTGATGTTCTTCGTTTGCCACCAGGGTACTGAGTTCTCACCACTATCTTGGAGCTTGCCATTTGCTTGATACTGGAGGACTTGGGTTGAAGTGTTTTGCAACTGACTAACCTCCCAAGGCTAGAAGCCATGAGATGTTTTGAAGCAAATAATAGATTATAATTTTTAAATTGTCATATATATAGATCAGTTACATGGTTGTGCAATTCTTTATGCTTATGATATTAGCAAAACATTAACTATGACTATATCACTCAGATGGTCAGTAATCAGAATGCAAAGATCTAGAAATAATAATTTTGCAATTGACTTAATGCACAGAAACACTTGAAATGTGGACAAAAATGGATTTAAAAAGTTATAGACTTGCCCAGCTAGCCTAAAATTAAAATAAAAGTATTTAGCAAATGCAATGAAAGATCTTAGAAATATAAATATACCTTGGGCCTAGGTGGTAGACGAGGGTTTGATGGTTGCTGATAAGGGTTGGGGGGAGAATCATCAATTTCCTGCATTAAATCACCGTGTCATTGAAGTAACACTGACCATGTAAAATTGGAAAACCTAATGGATAAGAGAAAACTTATTTGCGTGATACAATATTTTAGCCTGTTTGGTGAAAAAAATGTGAGAAAAGAAAAAGGGAAAAAAAAGGGATGAAATAGAATATAAAGTGAACTTGTTCATTTGAGGAGAAAGTAATATCAAAAGGGAAAAAATTGTCATTTTTAAAAATAATAAATAAATAATAATTAAACAATTGTATAATTACAAAATTATCAATATATTTGTTTTGGAGAGATGAAAGAGAAGTGATTTTGCAAAATACCACTTTACTTTAAACTTTCCACTATTTTCTCCTTATATATGAGTAGAGAGTTGTTAGATATGATTAGATATTAGTTGATATTGTTTTATATTGTTGAGATATTGTTAGATATTGTTAATCACAATATCAAATAATATCTTTTTATTTACTCTATTTGTATTCTGTTACTCTTTTGAGGAGTACCTTTCTTTATTATAAATACACTGCCCTATGTGTGGTAAATACACAACGAAAATTAACCCTATACAGCTTTTTCCCTATATTCAACATGGTATCAAGAGCTTAAGGTCTCTTGGGATTTTTTCGGCTCTGCTATCGAACCTGCAGCTGCCGCCGCCTCCATCGCCGCCGTCGCTCACCGCCGTCCGCCGCCGCCGCCGTCGCCAGAGTAGCAGTTCGGACCGCCGAGCACAGGGTTTTGCTCGCCTCCTCCGTGCGACCTCCACCGTGGAAGTTTCGCGGTCATCGGAGCAGCCACGCTCCCTCACGCGCCTCCCGAAGCCGCGCCACCTTCTCCCGTTCCGCCGCGCGTGGCGGCGCGTCTCTCCGCCGTTCAGGCCGCCGATCTTTGCGCCGGCGTCGCCTCCTTCTCCTCTCTCTCGGATCTGTCCTCGCTGCTCCAATCGGACCTCTTTGGTGTTTTAGGGTTTTCTCTCTCTTCCTCCATGGCATCTTCCGCCGCCACTTCCAATTCTGACGTTACCTCTGTCGAGCTCCGTGGGTCTCGAGCAATCTGTTTTTACTAATTATGTCAATGTGAATTTACCCATTGATAAATTAGATGGTACGAATTATGCAACTTGGGCATCTGATATTAGACTTTGGCTTGAGAGTCAGGGGTATGTTGATCATCTTACTACCAAGGTAGATGATGTTCCTTCCAATGATCGTGTCCGTTGGAAGAAAGTTGATGCTCATATATGTATGGTTCTCAAGAATACCATCAAATCTTCTTTAAAACAAATTTTTCGATCGTATGGCACATGTTATGACGTTTGGGAACAAGCCAAATTATTATACACCAATGATACTCAACGTCTTTATGGTGTTTGTTACAATCTTCTTGATGTTATTGCTCCTCGAGATAAGGATCCTGTGGCAGATTATGTGGGTAAGATCCATGCTCTTCTCCATGAATTTAATGAGTTATTACCCCCTGCCTCGACTCCTGTCCAAGAATTAGAGCAACGATCAAAGTTTTTCATGGTTTTGATGTTACACGGACTTGCCGATAAATATGCCCCCGTTCGTGACCGGATTTTGGGTTCCCCTGTTACACCCAGTTTTACCGCTACCAGTTCCTCCCTTTTGCGGGTGCCATGTAAACCTCTCAATATTCCCCCTGTAGTTTCTAATGATTCATCTGCCTTGGCCTCTCACCGTGATGATCGTAATCGCTCTCACAAGCCAGGCAAAGGGCGTGTCAAGTGTGACCATTGTGGCAAACTAGGCCACAAAATTGACAAATGTTATGCTTTACATGGTTATCCTCGCCGATCTGCTGCAGTTGCTCAGACTGATTCTTCCGCACAATCCTCTGCTGTGGATCCTCCTTCGTCTGTACCAACAAATCTGCTATCTTCAATGATTTTCTTCAATGGTATGAGAATCGAAAGCCCTCCAGTTCCACTACTTCTGTTGCCCACACAGGTACATCTTTTGCTGGTCTGACTCACTCTTCTTCTATTGGCCCTTGGGTTCTTGACTCAGGCGCCACCGATCACATCACTGGTAACAAATCCTTATTTTCCTCTTTCACTTCTTCTCATAATTTACCCTCTGTTACAATGGCTAATGGGTCTACAACGTTAACTCATGTGATCAATTAGCAGATATTTTCACTAAGTCTTTACGGGGACCTAGGATGGATTATCTTTGTACCAAGCTAGGCACATACGATTTGTATGCTCCAGCTTGAGGGGGAGTGTTAGATATGATTAGATATTAGTTGATATTGTTTTATATTGTTGAGATATTGTTAGATATTGTTAATCACAATATCAAATAATATCTTTTTATTTACTCTATTTGTATTCTGTTACTCTTTTGAGGAGTACCTTTCTTTATTATAAATACACTGCCCTATGTGTGGTAAATACACAAGGGAAATTAACCCTATACAGTTTTTCCCTATATTCAACAAGAGTAAGAATTGTCATTTTTCTTTGTTACGAAATAAAGATTTTTTTTTTGTTTGATTTCCTTACTAATTATTTTCACTGTACACTTTCCTTCAAATGAACAAACTCTAACTTAATGGTAGCACCACCTAATGGAACACAAATGGGACTTGTAGGATGCTAAAACCCTGTATTTTAATACACAAAGGATACTGGTTTATATAGCCTTTGTTGCAACAAATACCATAATATTAGGATTTTTTTCCTTTAAATCACATATTACTTGCCTATAAATGCAAAATATTTCATTCTTATTTTCAACACTGCTCCTCAAGGATTGGTAAAAATATATGCCGAATTAATCACTAGAATTAACGGAGTTAATGATGATAGCTCCTAACTCGATCTTCTCCCTACTGAAGTAACAATCTACCTCAAAAGTATTTGGTCCTCATGATAATTGATGAAATATATGCCAATGATCACAAGAGTTAATGAAGTTAATGGTAATATCTCCTAACTCGATTTTCTAGTAATATTTCCGAACTCGGTTTTCTCGTTAATGAAGTGACATCTCAACATCATTTGCAAATACTCTTCAAAATGGATCTCTATGTGAAGTTGATTTAGCAAGATGAACTCACATCTTGCAAAAGCAGGGTCTAGTATTATACTTCAATTGGAGGTAATTTGGTTTTTCAACCTATATTTTCTTGCATCCAACAAGGGATTCACCTCATTTAGGTAGGAGTTTTCCTTTAGGTTCCATAAAAGTATCAACAGGTTTGGATTCAATAGGACAATTTCTTCAACATATTGAGACCACATTTACTCTAAGAAATCATCTGACCATCCTTGGATAAAGAAACAAGGTTAACTAAAACATACAAAAGATTACCAACATCTTAAGTCTAGATTAATGTCCAAGGTATTATTTTAGATGGAGAATGCCATGTTGACATTGAGGTACATGAATCCTTGAGGTGATTGATGATAGAGGGCAGAGTAGTCAACTTCACAACGAGTCATACCAAACTATATCACAAGATTGTGAAATTTGTCAAACTAGGCTTGGGGAGTTTGTTTATGTCCATACACGGACCTATGCAGGCAGCCCACCATGGTACAGGAATACCTTGGGCAGCAAAGCTATGTGGCTGCTCCATGTTAAATTGCCAACCAAGAAACATTTTTATTATCAAACAGAACTAAAGGTCAGTGACAACTAGTATGTAGAGAGACTGTGGAAGGAAGGAAGAATAAGATGTCCGTATGAATGGTGTGCAGAGAGACTTCGCAAGCACATTCTTACACAATAATACCATTGTAGTGTTTTGAGAATTCTTACATCTTAAAGAACCATTCTATTATTAGAAGTGGAGAGATGTCTAATTCAATCCTACAAAACCGACTTGTAAGATCAGATTTTCACCTTTATTATATATTATAAGTTGGTCATATCTCTATTCGATATAGGATCTCCAACACACACCCTTACATCGAGGAATGAACATGTAAAGAATGTGAAATTGAATATTAAGGGTGGACCGATAACGAATAGAGTAATAGGAATCTTGTTAGGATAGGCTCTGATACCTTATTAGAAATGAACAATTATCTAACTCAATCCTACAAAACCAGCTTGTAAGTTGAGGTTTACCCCTCAATTACATATTATAAGTTGGTTATATCTCTAGTCGATGAGGGATCTCTAGCACACCCTCTCACACCGAAAAATGAACATCTCAAGAGCATGAAATTGAAGATTAAAGGTAGACCGATAACAAATGGAGTAATAGGCCAACAAATCTTGCTAAGATAGACTTTGATACCATATTAAAAATGAAGAGATGTCTAACTCAATCCTACAAAATTAGGATTAGAAAGTGGGGTTTGTTCCTCAATTATATATTATAGGTTGGTCAAATCTCTAGTTGATGTAAAATCTCCAACATTTTCCAATCACTAAGTAGGTGAAGGCATGAATTCAAAGTTTAAAGGTTCAAGTGAAATTTAAGAAATAATATTCTTACATTTTTTTAATAAAATGATTTTATACTAAACATAAAATACATCAACTAGTAACTAAATTTTTTTTACAAAATGGAAAGAAAGCAACTATAGTCACAGTGATGTCCATAAGTCAAGAGTTATAGTGAATGTCATAGATATAAAATGTAATGGAGAATGAAAGATTGAAGGTCACAATGTAAGATGAAAACACAATGAGATGACTACCGTTTAAGGCCAACGTGACTTGCATGAGACAAAAGAAGCAAAGGACTTGGAGTGGTGTGATGATGTTTTGTGGCCAGCTCAAAGGGACAACAAAAGGGGTAAAAGGAAAAAGAAGAGGAGGGGAAGAGTGGATCATGTTAGATGTAAAAGGCTTAGGCCCATCTCTTTGTATTTTCCTACTATAAATGCATAACCCTATGTGCTCAATACACATTAGGGATTCAGCCTATGCCTCTCTCTCTTCTATTTTAATAAGAACTTGGAAATTGGTGCTATAGTTGGGAGAAAAATATTCTAAAATTCTTAAAATCAACATGGCACAAAAGGGTTCACTTAAAAAGGCTTAAGAACCCAAATTGACTTCTATTTTAAAAGATACTCTGTTAGGGGCCATGAGGCTCACATTTGACGTCAATAATGTCTCCCAAACATTGTTCCTACAAGGTAATAATGTATTTAGTAAAAGTAATTAAACAATCATGAGATTGGGTGAGACAATGACAAAGGAGATGATGAAAAGGACAATCAAGTACAGTAAGGAAAGAAAGGGGATAGGTAGTGTCAATCCCTTGAGACCATGTTTGGGAACCATAGACAAAAGTAATACTTGGGAATAACTAAATGTAGAGAAGAAAGACAAAAAAAGAGTGATTACCAAAAATGTGGTCAAACACACTAGAATCAAGAACCTAGATACCAAAGGAAAGAGAGGAGGAGATGAAAGCAAATGAATTACTAGGTTGTATATAATCAATGCAATAGATCCAAGGTTTTCGTGACTCCTATACCAAAGGAAAAAGTCGTCATAAGTAGCTAGGGTGGTTCACGGTTGATTAGGTAGCTAAGGTGGGTTAGTGAGCCACATTGGTAGGATGAGGCTCACCAATCAACTTGCAATAGCATCAATAGTATGTCCAAGATAAAGGCTAGGGAAGAAGTATCACCAAGTGTAGGGCGAGAGAGGAGCTCAACAAATGCTTTGGGTGGAATCCCGAGAATGTCCTAGTCATTGTGGGAACCATGGGTGACCCCAGAATCTGGTTATAGGTGGCAAAATACTCCATAGGAAGATCACCACTAAAAGCTGCATGACAAACCTCCTCATCCTGCCCATGTTGCCCAATATTCTCCCTCCTAACCAAAATATCTCCATATTAGTATTCTTCATTTTCTCCCAATCAGTATTCCTTAATTTAAAGGATTTAAACCCACTATACTAATAATATTTTACATTTAATACATAATATTTACAGATCAACACAAACCAAGTTCTGTGGTGTCTTCAAATGCATGGTATTCAGCCAACCATGTCTCTGTCTCTCTCTTTATCACACATAATTGGAGAATATTTTGTTTAGTCTAAATTAGATTTTACTCACTTATAAACCACTATACATTAAATGCAGTAGAATATTTCCTTCTGATTTTTAGCAAGACGTATGATTTCAGGCATGCATCTGCAATTATCAAGATTGAAAGGAATAAAGATTTACTCTAATGTTAGAAGGCTTCTCTCCTCTTTGAATCATGGCCATTATCTGCACAAAAATAATGGAAGAAATAATTCACACAAAGAATCGTATGACCTGAATTAAAAAAACAAAATAGAGGATCTAATATTGAATTTTTTCTAAAATTGTTTAATCAAGATGTAAAGTGGATGAAGTAAAATAAATATGTTGCAATTAATACCAACAAGAAAAGGAACAACAAAATAAACTGAAATTGCAATTTGATGTTTTTAGTTGAAAATCCCAAAGAGATTTGGGTAGTTTTAGAAGCATAAACCAAAGAGAATTTTCCATAACTAAAAAATATATTTACCCCAAAGAAAAGGGATTACAATCCACAGCTAGAGCCCAAAGTATTTAATGGTCAATATGTGCCATCTTTTGATTAGTAGAACAGATATCTTTATTAGTTTGAGAGATAACAAGGACTCAGACATCACCTTGTGCCTGTAGAAAGTGGTTTGTGTGTGCATGGTTGGGTAAGTGGGGGAGAAAACATAAACAACAAGATAGAAATTCACCTCCATATATGATTTTGGATGAGGAGCACTAGATGCTTGAACAGATACAGGAGGGGAAGAAGATCTCACTGCAAAATAACATTCTAATCATAAGTAATAATTCAGAAATAATATTAATTTATTTCATTGGGATTAAATTAATGTATAACAACCTGATTGAGATTCATAGCCTGACTTCCCATTAACAATCAGTTGTTGTATCTAGTTCAAAGAAGTACAGTTGTCAAATGCCAAAACATTTTAAACAACTTGAATAGGAATCAGAGTTGTGCCAAAAATCCTTAATAATCTGACCTTTGAACTTGTTTGAGTGACTTGGCGATTTTCTTGCTTGGAGACATAGAGTTCACCGGAAGCTATTTTCCATCCATAATGTGGGGCGATGATATTTAGTAAGAACATAAAAATAAGTATCTTTAAAATTCTTATGACATATGCTAGAATTTCTGATATGCAAAGTAAATAATCTTTCAGGAAGGCTCTAAAGATTGTAAGTAAAACGTAGGTGTAGAAGTGACCCTGCTGACACATTCAGTATGACATCCAGTTATAATAGTCAAAATGCAAATATGATTTGTCAAAGCTCTTGTTCACCAGGATACATCAGTATCCTTGTCACATTCTAGAGGGGGCTATAAATGCACAGGTTCACAAAAGACAATCAAGAGTGTTCTTAATAAACATAAACGTGCCATTGCAAAATCATAAAACAAACAATCAAGAGCCTTCTTAACAAATATATAAGTCTCATTGACATATCTTAAACCAAACCCTTTAGAAAATATTCATAGCATTGGAATTGTTCATCTTAGCCCATATTAAATGGAAATTTATAATTACCTTCTAATCTTCTTATTGCGTCAGTCATCAACTTCATTTCTTTCACTTGTTTATCCAAAAGGCTCACAACTTCTACAAAATATCTCTTGGCTGCAATGTATAAAACCATATGCAGTAACGAAGTCATTCTTCAGTAACAAAAATGTCAATGTAAATTGGGAGTATTAAGACAAATATAAGATATTTTACAGGTTGCAAATTGAAGTTTCATTCATCCACCTTCAATTTTAGAACTCAGTAATTCTTGGCTAGCTTTAGCCATATCAGCAGCTGCAACTGCAGCTGCTTTTGCAGCCTGCGCAGCTTCTTCTGCCAATGTTGGTTTTGAGTCTGTTCTCTTGAATTGGTTATTCCCCTCTTCTAGGACAACATTGCGCAACCAGGATTTTAACCAAGGGAGAACAGAATTCTAAAACAAGGAACATACTTCCAAAGTTCAGTGAGTCTCAAACCAAATCACAAAGTGATAAAACTTAAGGATGGTGCAAGAAAATAAGTTAGGTACAAGAAAAGATAAATAAGTCAATCCGAGCCCTTTAAGATACCAATTTAGATAACATCATTCAGAAAGATTAGTTACAAATACCTTTATTAGTATAACTGTACCAACACCGGAAGTAGCTAGTAATCCAACTGCAATAAGGGCATGAGACCAGTGAAAATGGCGACGTGACAAGGTACCTAGCGAAGTAATAACACCAGCAGAAGCTGGTACAATCGGCTGCAAAGCCTGTGGTTGGCCTTGCTGCTGAATGTTTGAAGATGGCTTCAATTGTCCATCTGTGAGTATTACAGTCAGCCATGAGTTAATATAACTGAAAGAGGAAATCCGGTATTTGAACAAGAATAATTGAACGGTGAATTAACTAGCAGCTTATACTAAATCCCAAGGTGAAACGGAAAACACAAAAGAACAACAGCAACTTCAACATTAGATACTGCACCTTGATTTACACCAGCTGTCTGCACACTGGAAGTTGAATCCTGCGATTCAGATTGAAGGTAAGAATTACAACAGATGAAGATACAGTAAAGGGATAATCAATTAGGTGGTTCCATTCATGCATAAACAATATAAAATTGAGTAACATATCAAACAAGAAGCTTACAGGAACGCGCCGAAAGGCTTCATCTATCTCCTCCTTGGTAAGGCCCTTCTTCTCCAGAAACGACCGCCTATGGATGACAGGAGAACCTCTAACTTTCGGGTGCGACAGAAATTTCACAGCATTCTGAATTTGATCCTCGCGCATTGGTTCTGAGTTCACAAACACAGATGCATCTGAACTCCTTTTACCAAGCTCCTCTTCACTATTATGCTGATCAACATTTTCTGTGTGTGCAATTTCACCACCTACACCGTGAAAAGAGATCCAACGAATCAATAAAAAAAAAAAATATAACGAACGACTTTTCTGAAACATCAAGCAAGGAAATATTCAATTGACAAACACGATGAAAAATACGTTATTATCCACACAGTACAGAGCTCAGCTTAATCACGTAGGTTAAACATTTCTTAGAAAGCTGTAGTTAATTTCTTCTAAAATGACAAAATAAAACACACTGAAATCACCGTATTTTTGTTCATTCTGGCTCAATTGAATTCAAAGATCAACGATTATTCAAAACAAAGTACAAAGTGGAGGGCGTGTTCGCGTGCGTCAAATAATTGTTCGCAGATCATGGATAATATTATCAAAGTAGCACGTGTGGAGAAAAGAAAGAAGAGAGTGAAACCTGTGTTTTGAAGTGTGGAAATGGGAAGAGAATGGGATTGAGAAGCCATAGCTCCTGGTCCGTGCTACCTCTGGAGTCCGAATTGAGGTGTCTTTATGCTCATCGTATTCCCAGTGTTAGTTGATTATTGCAACAGTGAGAGAGAAAAGCCCCTCACTTTTTGCGCCGCTATATATATCCGTCCTTCAGATTCTTTCCATTCCACTCTCTAAAATTATTTTTAAATGAAAACAAAAAACAGTACTCATTTAATCATATTTTGTTAAGGTATAAAATAATTTTTAGTTTCCTCATTAATTTATGCTTATAATCTTGATTAAAAAAAGTATCATTTTAATTTTTGATAAAAAAAAACTATTCTGATCTATATTATGTGCTGATATTGTTATCTATCAAATCATGACTAATTTGTTAATTAATGCGTGTAATTTCGTTTTATTTTTTATTTCCCTATTTTACATTTTTTTACCATAAAAGTTTTATTTCTATTTTAATAATTGTTACTTATTAGCATTTTTAAATAATGAGTTATATGTTAAGGAAATCGCTTTAACAAATGAGAATACTTAGACATGTATTTGTTTTAATATTATTTATTTTAATTTCATAATCAAATAAAAATTATAAAAAAAAAGATATAAAATATAGTTTAGAAAAAAACTCCGTTTATACTCATTAATTGTTTTTTCTTTAAAAATATAATTTTAAAAAAATAGTGGCAATGTTAGTTATAATTATTAACATGATCACAATTTATTAACTAAAAATATCAATAAAATATAAAATAAAATAAAAACAAAAAAACAATCTTACTCAATTGTTATAATGTCACTTAATAAATAAGTCATTGTGTAACAAAATATCAGTAAACCGTAGAAATCAAAATAAAAATAAAAATTTTATCAAAGAAAAATAAAAAAATGCTTTAAAAAATATGTAAATTTTGCAAACCACAATCACCTATAGATGTTCAAATATTTTTAATAAACTTGTTAAATAGTAGAAAATTGAAAAATTCCGCCTCTCTTTTGTTTTTTTTTTCTTAGGCGTTTTTTATTTGAAAAAAAAAACTCCAATGTCCACTTAGATATATAATTTTTTTTTATTTTCTTACTTTACATAAGCAACTTCATCAAAGTTCTTACACATTAATGTTTTTTATTACATCGGGTTTAGCACTTTTTTTTTTTTACTTTTGAATCTTTTATATTTAAAAATATAACTTTCAAAGAAACTAAAAAGTAAAATTCCAACCTAACCAACTCCATCAAATTTCTTACACATTATTTTATTTTATTTTTTTTACTGCGTTGGTTTTAACATATATTACTTTTTACTTTTGAATTTTTATATTTAAATATAACATATCAATAAAACATTCAGTTCTCGTTATTAAACTCATAAGTTCAGAACTTTTACATACATTAAAGTTTTCGCCTACCAAACTTGATCAATTCTAGTTTTAAAATTTTTACATTCTTAAACGTCTTCACACTGAAAAAAATAAAAAAATATACACATAATAGTATGATAATATTCTTAAAGGGTGTTCCACTCCACAAAAGCAAACATCCCACTCACACTCACAAAACCAAAAGCCATCTCAATTATTGGAAGCTAACATCTTATTCATCTTATAAGTATTATCAACAATCAACTCAATCTTCAAATAATTTAAAAAAATACTGTACTGTCTCTGCATACCACGTTAGTATTTATTAAAATGGTATGCAAAAACGAAGAAAAAATAAATTCTATAGATACATGATGGAAGAGAAAAAAAAAGGTTACAAGATTAGTATGACCATGAAGAGGATAAATCATGAATCGAACTAATTGGTTATTTTATTTTTTATTTTATGTTTGTTATAATAGTATTACTAAGGTTAATTTTTATGTTTGAGATATTCTTCGCTTTGGAATTTTCGTCCGTCACGGTTTTGTCTTTAAAAGGCACCTCGATAGTTTAAAAGAGAAGGATGTATATAAATTACCATTAGTTTCGACTCTTAAGTAATATTATATTCATAAGTGTACCAAAATAGTAGGTAAATTAAATGAGTAAAAACTCTGAACTAGTCCAAGTTGATCAAAAGTCTAAGTTAATGATAAACAGAAATAACAAATAAAATTTTGAACATTAAGAGTCACTCTCAAGTTGAGAGTAGCTATTTAGCATTCCTAACTTAAAATAAAGATGATTAAAAATTGAGGAAGGAAAAACTTTAATCATGATATTTAGCATTCCTAACTTATTTTCTTAGTAACATGACAATCAATCTCTATATGTTTTGTCCTTTCATGCATGATTTGGTTAGAGGTAATTTGAGTGGCAAATTGGTTATCACAATCCAAGAGTATGAGTTCCTTGTGATTTATTCTTAGATCTTAAAAAAAGTAAGTCATTGTAGTTTACAGGTAGTGGAAGCAAGAGCTTAGTATTCAGTTTCGAAAGAGCTTCTATAGATAGTAGATTTTTTTTTTCTAGGAAAATTACCAAGTAATGTCCCTATGAGATATTTCCTAGTATGGATGCAACTAGTCCAACCAGAATCATTGTATGTTTTGAGTTGAGGATTGTTGTTAGCATTAAGGAATATTCCTTTTCCAAGGATTTCCTTAAGGTTATTTAGTATTCTTAGTAGACTTTGATGATGTATAGTAGTTAGTGCAGAGACGAAATGATTAAGGTAATGGATAGGATGAGTAATATTTGGTCTAGTATTAATAAGGTAGATGAGTCTTCCAATAAGTCTTTTATATGATGAATGACTCATTAATGCTTCGCCAGTGGAAGAGAATTTTGTAGATGCATGCTATTTCCCCTGACTTCAAAACCTAAAAAATAAGTTAAATAACCAAGATTCTTTATCTTAAAAGTTTTGTTGAGAAGATTAGTTATAATCTCAACTTCTCTACAATAATAGTATTATTTGCATATTCAAGGATTATTGTTTTACTTTTATTAGTGCAATTCAAGAACAGAGAATGATCAACTAATGAATGAATATATCTGTGAGAGAGAAGAAAACCAAATAACCTTTTGTATCATTACCTACTTGCTTGGTGTAGTCCAAACAAGGATTTACGTAGTTTACATACCTATCTGGTTGGAACTTGTTTCATGTCGCATGGAACACTTATGTACACGGCTTTATGTAGTTTATCCTCATAGAAAATCATTAATATCTAATTGTTTAAGATGTTAATTGTTCATAATAACAACAAGTAAGGTTTGTAATTTTTGCTACAAGAGATAAAATATCAAGAAAATCTACTCCTTCAAAATGAGAATATCTCTTAGCTACCAATTTAGTATTGTATATATTTATGCTCTACATTTAATCTTGTATACTCATTGCCACAAGTAAAATCGTGTGGAGACGACGAAAAATATAATTTTCAAATAAGAAATAATGGAGTCTCTACCAATATTTATTTTAAGAAAAATATAAAAAAAACTATCAAAAAAAGTAGCATGTGAAACAAAAATTGGATTCAATAGTCGATTATGCACATAAAAGGTATTCACACCGTACAACATTCATTCTAAAACTATTACCTTTAATTAATATAAAAAAAATTAACTACCTTTAAAATTATTTTATTGTATTCCTCAAAATTAACTAAAATAATACTTTATTATATATTTATAAATTTTTTAAATTAAATATTATAATTAAAAATAAAAGATAATAATTTTTTACCTTATCTCTCATATGCAGTGGAGATTAAGAGTGACTATTCTTTTGTGAATAAATTTTAATTTATTTTTTAATTTTAATTTTAATTATTAATATTGTACTAAAAATAATTTTGGATAACCAAATTAGAAATATGTAAAGTATTTTAAAGTAACCAAATTAGAGATACATATAAAATTGTTTAAATTAACATAAATGCTATTTTTTAATTATTACATTTGTTTTCTATAAATTCTAAAATAATTTAGATTTTCATATTTATAATAATAATAATAATAATAATAATAATTATTATTATTATTATTATTATTATTATTATTATTATTATTAATGTCTACTTCTAATATTATACAAATCTAACAAAATAATTGGTTTTTCCTCTTTGATTATCTCTTAGAATAGCCAATGCAAAGTGAGTATATAAATGAGTTTTTGATGGATAATGTGATAAAAGGAAATGGAGGGGAGAAGGTTGGCTTGTGCGGGAAGTGAAGAAGAGAATAAATGAGTTTGATTTAGTGTGATGTTAGTAGAAGGGTGCAAGTGTGAGTGAGTCTTTTTGTGAAGAGATGGAGGTGAAGGCTGATAAGTAGAAATATGTATAAAATAGTAATAATAGCCAAAGCCAACCAAAAGAGAGAATACAAAAGAGGAAGAGGAAATAGTTACAGGGGCAAAGATACACAATATTTCAAAAGAAGAATGGATTCATTGGATTAAGAGAGAAAGTATTATAATCAATATTTTTCTTCACCCAGATTATGTAGGACAATAATTTTTATGTACAAGGAATGAAACTTAGATAGTTAGTTTTACCATCGGTACTCAATAGAAAATATTATGATATTGTCCCCCTTAAGATAAATCTTGCCCTCAAGGTTTGAAAAATGGAAACTTATATTTCAAATCATAGAAGAATTCCTAAGTAGCATTTTTTAGTAGTTTATGTTTCTATTTAACCAGAACCTTTGTTATGGTCTTCCCCTTCCTTTTGACTGTTATGCGGTCCAAAATAGTATCTGGTTATTTATGCCTAGACTGATCCTCAACATCTAAAGAAAGCATAAAACCTACTATTATAAGTCTCACGTATTCTTTAATTGTGAGATATGAAAAATATTATGAATGCGTAAAGAGTCATATAGCTGTAACTGTCATGTAACTTGTCCCACTTGATCAATAATGAGGAATTACCTATAAAATTTGGGAGACAACTTCATTTAAACCTTTTTGCTATAGAAATATGTTTATACGGGTGTAGTTTAACACAAACTAAGTCTCCTATATTATACGTTTTGCCCTATCTATGTCTATCTACATTTTATATCATTTAATGTTATGCCCT